TTGAGCAGAAAGCAACTGACAATCAACCCAGAGCTCTCTACCTTCTCTGCCCTCCAGTGAGAGGCCTAAAACCAGGGCATAAATTTTTAAGACAGGACCTCAACGCCCCTCCTCCAAGCCGGGATAGAAGAGCCATTCTCATCAATTATCAGACCAGTTACCATCCTTTTCACTGAAAAGCGAGGGGGAGCACCAAGATGATTCTGTGTAAATTAACCTAACTACAATGCCTCCTCCTTCCATTAGCTACCCCCATTCATTTCCCAGTCACTCACTTCCTCCAGATTTACCATCCTGAAGCACGTCCTGTATTTCACTTCTTTGCTGAGCACTCCCTACATGTAAATGTTAATGAAAAACCCTGAGCCTTTTCTCTTACAAATCTGTCCTTTGTTAGTTTAATTTCGCGCCTCCAAGCACTGAAGTTGAGAAATAAGAGAAAAAATCTCCAACACACTGGATAGATGGAATGGTGAAAGCTATCAAACTCATCATCCAAAATTTTAGGTTACCTTATTGCAACCGGCCACTTACAAATCGTATCCACTGATGACTAAAAGTAGAAACATGCTTAAATACTGCTAACAGATCTCAAAAGGGGAGGAACATGATATCCACGTCCACAAGCAATTAAATCCCAGGTGCCTTGATATTTGCAAGATTTTATGCACTAATAAACAGTAGTGGACACTTGTTATTAAATTGCAGTTTTTAAAAGCTGTACTATTTGTGGTTTTGAAAGCCAAGGTAAAAGTACAAAAATTAAAATAGGTAAATATTAAGAGTTTCATAAGGGAACAGTTGAAAATATTGACTTATCTTCCCCAAAAGAATCTTTATTAAAATAGTTTTGCTATCAGAAAAAAAAGTTTAAAAACAGGACTGAGCTGTGATGTGAGAAAATAAAATTCATGCAAACTCTAAATCCCTTTGGGGCTCAAGCGTTTTTCATTGGTTTGGATTCATTTATTCATCCAGCTCACACTTACTAAGTGCCTACTAATGTGCTCCGCAAGGGGAGTACAAAAACGAATAAAACATGGTCTTAGCAGACCAAGAGAAATACTCATTGATAACTGTAATATAAAATAACAGGTCCTAGGGGCCAAGAG